AAATAAAGATATTTCCAAAAGTAATCCATGCATCGGTAAGTTTGCTATATGTTATATTTACTGTTATGATTTTCAGGTATTATTTATTGGAAACTGCTCAAAATTATGTCATCTTTAGATTGTTGTGTAATTTAAAATATGTCTTTATCAATGTTAATAATCATTATTGTTATGTATATATAATCTTGCTTAATTATTTTTAATTCTTATAAAATAATTTAGACATACATTATTTCTTCCTTCATGATTTATATTCTCTTTTTTATAGACAGATGACTGCCATGAGATAACAAATGTCTTTCATGTGTTTAGGTGTTTGTGTTAATGAAAATTGTTTTTAAATGATGACGTTAATATATTTTTTTCATAGATGTAGATGAATGTCTGTTCAGTCCATCTGTATGTGGTCCAAATGCCAACTGCACAAATGAAATTGGAAGTTATAATTGCTCATGTCTGGGTGGATTCACTGCAACAAACTCAAGTCTCTCCATCAGCATCAATAACACATGCAAAGGTACTGTATGTGCAGATCTCTATGTACTTTAACGTTAAAGGTACTGTGCAGATCTCTATGTACTTTAACGTTAAATTAAAAACTAGATGTTTTTACGCAACATTAGTCCAATCAGTTTTATTAAACTAAATAACAATTATGTGTTTAATGCCAACATTATGAGGTTTCAGTGTTCCTGCTTTGGACATAATATTGTAAATGAAGCATTCTATTGTAAAGATGTCAAAGTATGAGTTGACCTTCACATGTGTATGAGTGACCAAAACTGTTCTTTTCCCTCAAATATTCTTTTAATATAGATGTGAATGAATGTATTGAGATATCAGATGTCTGTGGTCCAAACTCAGTCTGCAACAACACTGTTGGGAGTCACAATTGCTCGTGCATGCATGGATATAATGTAACAGACCCAAACCTCCCTATAAACAATAATAACCCATGCAAAGGTTTGAAGCAATGAACAGTTTGTTACTATTTGTTCTGCGTGAATCACCCTTCAACTGTAACCTTTCAATTTATTAAA